CAAGGGAACGGAATGGATTAACGCATAATGAAATAAAAAAATAAAAATTAGAAATAATTAATCCATTCCGTTTCCTTATTTGAAGTAAAATAATTCCAAATTGCTCCTCCTGATATTTAATATTTTATTCCTATTCCTAATATTTCCTCTATTGTGCGCAGGGCCTTATTCTCCAAATTAAAATAAAAATATTTACTGTCAACTGCTGAGCAAACAATTTCTTGAGCCGGTTTCTATATTAAAAATGTATTTTTTTAGTGTATATTAAGTGTTTTTTTAATGCAAACTAAAATATTGACAACTAATAAGTTAATTAACCAGCACAAACCTGGCAATGCAAATGGTGATGTGTAGGATGCGACATTAGTTGAGTAGAATGAGGTTGTGATTGCGTTTGTGGCTGCTGGGATTGTTGTATCTTATATATATAAAAAAAAATATACATCCATTTTTTTGAAAAAATGAATTATTGAAATTGTTTTTTTCATATACTATCACACATACACTTGTATTCAATAATTTAAATTAATAAAATAAGACCCACTTTTTGAGATTCGTTTTTGTTGTTTATAAATATATTATTTTCTTACAGAAAAATAAAACAATTATTAGTACCTGATCTGCGCCAGCTTTTAATAAGAAGTGGAACATCTTTAAATGTCCATGACGGCTTGCTAACGATAATGCCGATTCTTTACCATTGGAATGAGTATTGATGCCAGCACCGTGTTCAAGTAAGATTTTAGCAATTTGCACACGACCAGTACTCGCTGCTTCCATTAAGGGTGTATGACCATAAAGATCATTATGATCTTCAACATTAGTTCCCGCTTCTAATAAGACACGTACAACCTCTTCATGTCCACCAGCACATCCATACATTAGAGGTGTATTACCTTTGATTACAAATACAAACTTTTTAACAATATTATCCTGGACAAATTCGTAACTTTGATAATATCAGGTGATTGCATAAGTTCGTGCCCGATTTAAATATAAACTTCAATAGATTATATTTTAGAGATAACACTTTTATTAATCAATTATATAGTCTCCATTCTTTTCTACAATGGTTTTCCAACGATCTACAAGCTTGTCGATTCCATTTTTGAAGAAAGAACTTGGTTTTTCTTGAAAAAAGTTTGTAAAGTGGTTTTCGACAGCTTCCTCGGAATTGAGATTCTTGCCATTTAAACTATTCTGCAAAGACCGGAACAGATAAAAATCTGAAGGCGCAAATAGAAATTTAGCGAAGTAATTTAAAAAAATGATCTATAATAAAAAATAAATAGCTAATGCTAGTAATTTTACCGAAAGTAGATTGGGTGTTTACATCTATTCCATGATTTATTAACCATTTCACCAAATTTACGCATCCTGCCTTGGCGGCTCTCATCAAAAGGGTACAATCCCCTGCAATTCCACAATCTTCTACGTTAGCATTCATCGCCAAAGAGACCTATTTTATAAAAACATCAAGAAAAATATCAAGAAAGGGAGAGAGGGGGGGAGGGAGAGAGAGATGACAAACACAAGCGCATAGGCATAGACAATCATATACATATTCTCTCTCTTTTTCTTTCAATCTTTCTCATACCCTCTTCCCATCCATCTCTCTCTCTCTCTTACTCTCACATCCTGTTTCCAACATAGTGCACACGGACGTCTTATCAGGAGCCTCTTTGGTTTACCTCGGAGACGTCCTCCTCCCTTGCCAAACAGTCTGTGATAAAATTTGGCTGCCACTCCCGCAAGGTCTCGGTTTCCGTAGCGCTCCAATTCGGCCATTGGGGAGTCCACGATGTCTTCTCCGTTTCGTAATAAACGCTCGCTGCTGCTGGTGCTGCGGATTGCTCTTCGTGGCTTTTTTGGCTATCCGAGATCGTTCCTTGCATTATATTCTGCATCTTTCCTCTCTAGATTATATGATTAAACACAAGGCTGGTTTATTAAGGCCGTAACCGTATGGCGGTCTCGCCACGTGTTCGCGTTCGCGTATCGCACCGCTCGAGCATTGATGCCAGAAGAATGGCCACGTGCTTCCTGTTCCTTGGATAGCCATAACCATAGACATAGTATATCACCTAAAAAAAACTCACAAAGGTAAAAAAGAATACGCCAAGTATATAAA